AATCTCTCTGCAGCCACGAGTTAACTTTTCTTTGGGTTTTCACTATTAGAGGGTCGAAATTTAGATTACATCTTGCTTTTTGGTCTTTATTAATTAAAATTCCTAAGTATGTAACTTGATCTTTCACAGGAATGCTACATATAGAGGGAAGACCACAGCGTTTGATTGACATTAACTCACATTTGTTGATATTTAGGCAGAGACCTGAAGCTCTGGAAAAGGACTCAATCAAACTCAAAGCTAAAGGAACTTGGGAGGCGTCATTCAGAAATAAAGTAGTGTCGTCAGCTAGCTGGCTAATAATAATTTGTCTATCATCAATTGTGATACCTTGTAAATTATTAGTGGAAATATGCAGAGCTAAGAACTGAGAGGCAAGTAAGAATAGATATGGAGATATAGGACAGCCTTGTCTTACTCCACGAGACAAATCAAATCTTGGTGAGGTTCCGAATTTTAACTTAATAACACTATTATTATTTCTGTATAAGGTCCTGATGGTTTTACAGAAATAATCTCCAAACCCAAACTTGTCAAGAACTTGAAATATGAACTTGTGCTCAAGCGAATCAAAGGCTTTGTAGAAGAAAGGAGATACATTTTTGTCAAACATCTTATACAGCTCAGCGGTTAGACCATCACTGCCCGGTCGAGTCCAGTGTAGTGATGTCCGATTCGCGAACGAATCGTTCGATTTAACCGGTTCTTCTTAATGAACCGGTTGAAAATATCTAAATGATATAAAAGATACGTAAATATTTTTACGTTTTTTTAGCTAAAAATACGTAGCGATTTGTACGTTTTAAACGTTGAAATACGTCTAAATTGTACGTTTTAGCATGACTAAAAACGTACAAAAGTGTACGTTTTGTGCTTGTAAATGTTACGTATTAATACCTACGTATAAACATGAGACCAGGCTGGTATATTATACAGTATATTAACTAAGTTTGATTTCTATATAGGTATTAACTGAAGCTTCAAAAACAGCCTGTTTACAAAGTTTACATTGTGTAAGTCCACAGTGAAATAGGCTGAACAAACTGGTAATATCAGAGAAACTTCAGCCACTTAATTCAAATGTTTGAGATTCTTCATGTGCAAAGAAAGCGATTTCACAGCCAGGAGAAGTACAATGTTTATGGCTCTTAATTCTTAAAGCTGCAGTCCGTAAGTTTTGCCTCTTTGTCGCCATCTCTGTTTGAAACCTGCAATTGCAGTTATTTGCGGAATTATCTTCTTTACGTGGGTTGTGCTCCGGCACGGCTCCAGCTTGGATTAATCTAATGTTTTGATGTGTAGCTGTCAGTCACCGCACTGGTATGGATACTGTATTTAGGAATCACAGATTATAAATCTTGGAAGTTTGACCCAAATAAGAATTTTCACCGCTTAGGTTTGGGGTAGGTTAAGGTGTCTAAAAATCGAAATCGCTTATTGATAAAATGATAAAAATGCATTGATATGAATATCTAAATGATATAAAAGATACGTAAATATTTTTTACGTTTTTTTTAGCTAAAAATACGTAGCGATTTGTACGTTTTAAACGTTGAAATATGTCTAATTTGTACGTTTTAGCATGACTAAAAACGTACAAAAGTGTACGTTTTGTGCTTGTAAATGTTACGTATTAATACCTACGTATAAACATGAGACCAGGCTGGTATATTATACAGTATATTAACTAAGTTTGATTTCTATATAGGTATTAACTGAAGCTTCAAAAACAGCCTGTTTACAAAGTTTATATCTTTATCTTGTATCTAGAAGTTTGTATCTTCTTTACGTGGGTTGTGCTCCGGCACGGCTCCAGCTTGGATTAATCTAATGTTTTGATGTGTAGCTGTCAGTCACCGCACTGGTATGGATACTGTACTTAGGAATCACAGATTATAAATCTTGGAAGTTTGACCCAAATAAGAATTTTCACCGCATAGTGTCATCTGAATAAGTTAGTAACATGTCTGCCACTTTTGTTCTGACCAACTGAGGAAAAAAACAAGTACAATAAATCACACTAACAATTCTGATTAAATCTAATTATCGCTTAGCTCTATCACATCAAACCATGCAAATTATTATTATTTTTATACTTTGTTCTCAAATTGCTAATGTTAACAAAATCAGCATTGCGTGACTACGTGTATGTAGTGTATTAGCGTGTAGATTTAAATTTCTGTACAGTCTAATCTCTAATTGTCATACCATCCGAATTTCATATAAAGAAATTATTTTAACCCAAAAAGCAAATTATTCTTCCTTAGAACTGGTTCTCTTCAAAATACAAATCTTGTGTAATCTTGTGCTATTTGTAATCAGATGCACATGTAAAACCGGAATAATCTAATTTCAGTCACATGTGTTTCATAAAAATCTGCCATCAAAATGATACATTTAATTATTCCAGCTGCTTTGAGAAAAGGCTATAAACGATCACCACCTGCAGCATCCTCACATGCGACATAGCCTACTAGCCAGGACAACTTCTTTATGTTTACAGACGTGATGTAATGATGCCACGGCATGCTCGAATTTCCCGCAAATTAGTACCGAAGTACGACGTACCACTCAAATTATAAAACATTATTATAAATTTACCGTTGTGAATCGGGCTAAAGTAATGCAATAGTTTTGAACACTGGCTGATTATGTACTTGCTCAAAAATTGATTTTGGATGATTTTTAACCAAAAAATTACGGACTGCAGCTTTAATTCTAAACTCTTAATTATTTTGGTGTTAAGAATAAAGGAACATGGCCAAATAAGGGAACAGAAACAGGGGCAAAACATGACACAGACAGTCCACGATCCTGACAATATGACGTTCCCACAAATTAATATCTCG